GATTTTTGAGGAGTTGGAGCAATAAGAGTTTCATGATTATATTTTACATACTATTTGATGTAATTCAACAAGTTTCAGACAAGTTCCAAATTGATGTAAACATTTTTATTTAAGTATTCACTGTAATGGTTACGTTGCTATGATTGCTATTATATATTGGTTGTGATGCTATACATAACGTCCTCCACCCCAGAACGTTTCCGTTATTCTGGTTTTGGGGTGTGACAATTATGTAAAGAAAAAAGGGAGAGAGGGTAGGGGTACTGGTAATGAGGGATGGGGCGAAACATTTTTTCATTTTATTTTTGATGAGATTTAATTGTAATTAATAAAATTCCTAATTTAATTCATTCTATTTTTGGTGAGATTTAATTGTCATTAATAGAATTTCTAATTTAATTCATTTTATTTTTGGTGAGATTTAATTGTCATTAATAGACTTCCTAATTTAAAACGTAGTATATGTTTTATAAAATTTGTGGACAAAAATAAAGGGGTTGAGAAAGATGATGTCAGCAAATAATCCAATGGTGGAAAATATAGGATTGAAATGCAATCAACGGCCCTGATTTCTTCAATTTAGAATTAAAGGTTCTCTTTTAATAATATTTAGAGATGGTGATTAAGGAAGTCTTCTTATATATCTTAACAAAACCATAACAACTGTAACACCCAATTTTGAAAGTACTCGGTTGTGGTATCGGAGGCCAAAGGGTAGAGGCGATTCGGTCTTTTATGGGTCTCGGGTTTATTCGTAAGGTTTTAGGCTTGGGGGCATGACTAAGAGCGTAGGGTTTCCCACCACCTTTTCGTGGATATAAAGTTCGTCGGAAACGGACTTGGAACGAAGAAGTTATAGCACTTTGAAGTTATTGGCATAAATGGTCCCTAATGGAAATGTTTGGCAAGTAAGTCCCATGCATGCAAGGGATGCATGCATGTGTCCGGCTGGGTACGCCCAGCGTATAAATGAGAATGGTCGCGGGTGCGGAGGGGCGTACGCCCATCGTAGGAGAAGTACGACCAGCCTACGCTCAGAGTCACTAAACCCTAATTTTTTAGGGTATGTTACTATATAAAGAACATTATGCCCTAGATATCAGCCTCCCTCTCATCCTTAGACAACCACCACAAAACCCTAAACCACCTTTGAGTGTCCTTGGAGCTTTGGAGGCCATTAGAGAGCATTTTGGAGTAGTAAAGCCATTTTCCAAGCAAGTGAAGAGAATATCAACGTAGGGGATCAAAGGAGAAGATATAGATCTGGGGTTATTGCTTCATTTCAGACTTTCTTGAGGTATAAAGTCTGGAACTTGTCTCTTGAATGCTTAGATCTATTATGATGGAGTTTTGGATCTTTTTGGTCCCAAGGATGAAGCTTTATGGTCCAAACACGATTCCTAGACTAAGGGTTGCCACCCTTGGTGCTAAATGACTCCCTAAGACAGAAAGTTGTCATCTTGGTGGTCTTAATGGGCTCATGCAAGAGTTAAGACCATTTTCATGGAAGTAGATTACAACTTTTGGAGTTTGGGCTTGTTTGGGGCATGCAAAGTCACCAAGTCAGTGACTTTATGGATTCAGACGTTAAGAGGAACTTAGATCTATGATTTAGACCATTGGATAGAAGCTATAAGTGCTTAATAGAAGAAAGGGCTTAACAGGGAAGTACGCTGGGCGTACAAGCTGGTACGCGTAGCGTACAGGTCACCAGCCCAGTACGCCCTGCGTACAGCTAAGTACGCCCTGCGTACTCAGTCACAGTGGGTTTTGCGTTTTTGGGCCTCAGATTGGGCCATGCATTGGATTTTAGTTCTTTGGGCCTTAGTGGGTCATCAGAAGCCAGATGTTTTGGGCTAAGAATATGTTTGGGCTTAGGGTAAGGCCCATTAGAGGGATTGGGCCCAATTTAGCCAATTGGGCCATTAGTGGGCCACTAGTGGGCTTGGGAAGCCTACCTAGTGTTGGGACTTTTATATTATGGTTTTGGGCCTTAGATATGGACCAAGTTAAACTAGGGGTAAAATGGTCATTTTACCCTAATGAGGGTTATTGGTTTCGGGCTAAGTGTTATTTTGGTACTGATAGCTCGAGGAGCCGAAGGAGCAGCAGTTCGGGGAATTGCCAATTAGCAGCCAGAGGTTTATCTGCGGGATTTCAGCAGTGTGAGGTAAGTCTCCTCATTGTGTGCATGGGTCTACGGCCACAATGCCGACCCATTATGTTTGTGTATAGTAGGAAGACCTGGGGGTTAGCCCTAGGCATTTTTATGATATATGTTCCGGATTATGATCCGATGTCGGGCGAGGCCCGAGGTATGTTAGTATGCTAGAGGTCTTTGTGATTCTTGCATGTGTCGGTAGTATGTTTCCGGACTAGGGTCCGATGCCAGGGTAAGCCCGAGGAATGTTATATGTTGCATAGTAGATTATACTTGTAGTCTTTGTGATACATGTATGTGCCTGGTAGGGAGGTGAGTATGGGCGAGGTCCCGTATCTCACCACTAGCTGAGTACAGACGGGGTTCCGTAGATCATTATTAGCAAAGCGGGGGCGGGGCCCGGGATAGGAGAGAGGTGAGTGTGGGCGGGGGCCCGTATCTCACAATTAGCAAGAGCGTGGACGGGGTTCCACGACTCATCAATAGCAGAACAGGGGCGAGGCCTTAGAACAGTAATACAGTAGAGTATGTTTGCTTATTGTGCTTAGTATGTTTATGTGATTGTATATGTATAGCGGGTGGGTCCCGGAGACAGGCGAGGCCTAAGAGAAACAGATTTGTATATCGAGCGGGGCTTGATGCCAGGCGGGGCCAGATGCCGGGTGGGGCCCGATGTCGGGCAAGTCCCAATGCAGCAGGCAGGGGGCCCAGTATGTGGTTATGTGTATAGTATGTGGTAGGTTGGGGAACTCACTAAGCTTCGTGCTTACGGTTTTCAGTTTTGGTTTCAGGTACTTCCGGTAGCGGAGGGAAGAGCTCGGGATGACTACATCGCACACACCATGATGTTTAGCCTAGGATGTTTTACTCTGATTTTTGATATGGAACTCTGATGACAATGTTTTGATGAAATGTTTTGATAACTTATGGTTTTATTAATGAATTAAAATGAAATTTTTGGTCTTGATTTTTGAGATGTTACAACAACTCTTAGATTTTCTTCCTACGGTCCAAGCTACATGAAGACTAGTTTTTAGATTAGTTTAGTTATGTTTATATTTATCTTAATCTAGATGGTACATATGTGTACATTTATCTATATATAGAGTACATAATATCATACAATCAAATATGTAAGATAATGTGGTTTATTATGTTATAAAATTTAATTTATTATGTATATTAACCTATAATTTTATGGGTTGTCTTAGTATTTACTATATCTGAATAATTTATTTTGATATGAATATCGATAATATAATTTATAATGTTATTAAAATAAAACGATGGACTAAAGTTGTATTAAACTACTAACTATAAATATTGCTCTTGAAAATCTATAAAAGTTAGAAAAATAATATAAATAGAATATAGTTTTTAGATGTTCAAAATAATGTTATGCATTGAACGAAACTAATATTCTACCATATACTACACTATTTACCTTATTTTTGTGCAAAAAATATATATAATATGTAAGAGATGGTCGTGTGTGTGTGTATATATAATCTTATTCCAATATGCGTTTTGATGTTGTGAGAGTAGTGTAATTGTATGCCATCAGATTTATGTAGTTTAGTGCTCAGGTAAGAGAATTCCACACAAAAGTGTGTTTGGGTAAGATAAATGACTCCTTGGAAAAATTCTTAGCAAAGACAAAGTCTTGGTATTTGTGTATGGGATGTAACATGTTGTACAATAAGACATTTTTGTAACGTGTACATGTTACTTGATTAACTATTTTTAGAACTTATCTATTCTCCTTGCACTCTATTGAATTATATGAATAAAAATCAATTTCAAGAATGTTTTTTTTGCTATTTATATATTCTACAAGCGTAGTTAAACAAAATATCTTCATTCTTTACTAGATTTTAGACTTCAACAAGTCCATGTACCCGATTTCGATTTTTATATTTATGCAACCGAAGAAACTAAAAACAAAGAAAATGATGAAAAAAGAAAAATGATAACTCATCAACTGATCCCATAAACCAGAAAACAGAAAACCAAAAAGGTTTTTTTGTGGCTAGATATCGAATATTTCCAGTTTCACTCATTTTTAGACAAAATCCGAGTTAAACCGAATTGCCTTCATGCCTAAGTTACATGTGTTTGCACCAGAGGCGTAAAAGCAAACAGCAGAATCATAGACAAATGTTGTTAAAAAGATGGCCTTTTAAGCACAAACAGATTGCCAGTTCGACATAGAAAGCCACTAATGGACCATGATCATGATCTTCTTCTTACAATATACAACAATACTACAAAGCAAGAATCAAGAGTTCCCTTGCAATATTTAGCTACAAAATACAATCATAGAAAGATTCGGGTTTATTTGGATTTTTCAGATCAATGGACCATATGATCAGGTCACATATCGTATAGTTTCAATGCTATATATATATATATATATATATATATATATATTATATATATATATATATATATATATATATAAGTATGCTTCACGCAACACATACATAGTATTACATACAAGGTCACCTTAAAACTACCCATGTGGAAAAAAGGTCGAGCATCATCACAATGGTATCCACATGGTTCACTGGCAACATCGGTCTTACGAACGATCCTACCTGCCAAAATGTACACACGGGATCACCATTATAATCTAAAAGAGTAAAATACAACAAAAAGAAATGTACTTTCAGTGATTTGTTAATTGAATAGACTTTCAAAGTATAATGCTCACAGTTGAATAAATGAAAAATGTTATAATAGAGTAGGGTTTTCAAAGTACAATGTATTGATATAAAATATATTAATAACAAAATCCTGTAATAGGATACTATGATACACAAATAAATGAACGTACATTGCTATTTCTTGCATTTAACCCTAGATTTAACTGTTTACCAAGCTTTCTAAGTAACCAACATGTAAGATATGCATTGAAAAGCTGTTTATTACATATAACTTAACACATAAATATAACATTGAAGAATTCTCAACTCCTATCCCCTTCTAATACGGATCCCCGACACTGAGTTTCGGGTAAATACAACTTCTCTCCTTTCTTCAACTCCATCCTCTTGTGCCCCTTCCTCGAAAAAGCCCCTAAACCAATAGAAAGAAAGTGACATAAGAAAACTCCCTTAACATCTTTCAAAAGGGTTGATGCCATCCGTGAGCATCCCCCACCAACCGGTCCCACAACCACTCACAGTGTACCTGAGACCTCACTTATGGATTCTCATCTCCCTACCAATAGGGCAAGAATGTAGAGACTACTCTAACCATAACTTTTGTCTTCCCTGTAATTCCGAATCTACCCTTGTTTACTATGACAAGCATCCTACTCTTCGTTACAAAAGCCTACTTCATACCCATTACGTCCTAACACACATCCAAGCAAATATATCTTTCAAAGATAGCTTATGAAAGATAACTTGATAGAATTTCAGTATGTTTTGAATCATCACATATCATATCACATTTAAAGCTTGTATTTCACAACCAATGAACAAAAACACATAAAAAGACACGAAAAAGATAAAATCCATACCTTGGTGAAGACGCGTGATTCGGGGCGTTTGAGAATCCCGCGTACACATTCGAATATGACTTGGTCAAATACGAAAAGTTGGCAATAGGTGGAAGAGGAGGCACCCTTTCGCCTTTCTTCAAAAGATCTTGCAAATTGACCCTCTGTAAAGTCAACACAGCCCGAGACTCCTTCCACATGAACACAAGCATCCCATCTTCAAACACAAACAACGACCCTGGTTTAGATCCCGGATACCTAAACCCGTATCCATTCGCAATCCCTTCACCACTAAACGCCTCTTTCAAATCAAGAAAATTCGACTCCCCATCACTCTCCCATGGGAATGGCTCAACTGAAGGCTCATCAATGTTCACTATAAACATAGGCGACCCATTCGGGTGCAAAACATAATGAGTTCCTTCCAAGATTTTTGTCCCAATGAGACTACGTGTCCCCTGTGTTTCTTCATATGAAAGCAACAGGAAAAACAAAGCTTTTCCTGGCTTGTTTTCGGATGGCCGCCCAGGCGGCCATCCGAAAGTGCCGCCCCATAAGCCCGCGTGCTCTTGGCCAGCCACGGGCTCGTGTTGGGGCAGCTTGTACAGCGCGAATCGGCTATCGTGCATGTTTGGCCATGCACGATAAGACGATAGTCGCGCTGTTGAAGCATGTAATGTGAGTCCTATTGTCTCTCCAGATCTCAAAAATTCTTGAAATTGCACTTGTTTATTGTTCTCGGAGCTTTTCGAATGTTCATGGCTGCCATTGATGGAGCTTGATTTCCCGATGATGTGTTTGAAACTATCAAGGAAATACCCCACGAGTGATTTCTTTTTTGAACTCTGCATCCGATATATGTCTCGATGAAATTGAGCACGGGTAGACCCGGTAGATCGATCAAGAAACTTTCTAATTTCACCCAAATCTGATTGGGTTGGATCTGGATCCAACCCGTTATCACTATACATTTGCATTACCCTTGATCGCCTTTCAGTTAATCTACTAAAATCTTCAGATTCTGAGCATGGAAATGAAAACCCTTCTGCTGATTGTGGCACTTTGACTCGAATTTGACTTGTAACGATTTCAATTAGCTTCCTTCTGTCACCAAATGCTAATTTACTGAATGGGACAGGTGGCTTTTGTCCATGAAACCTTTGGGATTTGGAAACCCCACGTTCAGATGGACAAATCTTTCTTGAAAACTCCTTATCGACTGTGTTTCCAGCAAAGCTCTTGCTATGGAATAATTTACCCCCGTCTTTCTGCTGTCGAGGTTCAACTTCAAGCAATAACACATTACAGTTTCTGTCTACAGTTTTCATGGAGCCTGGATATATATAATTGTTTTCCCGCTCTCTTCCGTGAAGAAGAAACACAGATGATCCATCGACATTCCCGAGGATTTCAAATACGGGTGACCATAAAATCGGGCCTTCTTCGATTCCTAAAAGTCCGAGCTCTTGGGGAATGATTCGACATCCGACAACGGAGATGAAACCAGGCATGACGTAAACGACATTTCCTAGTTCGGGATTTTGGTGAACCCAAATCCCGATTATTGGTTGAACATTAATGAGAAACCTACAAAGGGATTTGTAGGAATTAACCCCTTTTCGCCACTCGATAAGATCTCGATGGGGGATTACACCAAGCAATTCGCATTGTGTTAACCATACTTTATCGGAGCTCGCAAGAGCATACAGACTCCGGCAACAGATGGAGAGGTTAAACACGTCTCTGGGTGTGAGAGATCGAGTTACAACCGCGAAGATATCATCGGGTAAAGCTAGAAGCAGTTTTGACCCGCATGTATAATTGTGAAACAACATTCTAAGAATCAAATTGATCTATACCTATCACTATATCAACAAGAATTTGTTCATCAAACTAAAAAAACAGTATAATTTACAGAGAATTTAGAGATATACAGTAGAACGAGCATCCATCAAGCTTCAATTCATGTTCCCCAAAATCCTGATTACTAATGGCTATGAATTGGTACTTTTGAGGAAAAAGGGCTCAAATTGGAAACCAATCTATCAAGATAGCATCTTTTTTAACAGAAATCAAATGGGTATGCTTTAAATTCTCAAATTTTGGTGTCTAGAGAGAGAAGGAATGGTCAATTGGCATCTTTCTTGAAAAAGAGAATCATGGGTACAAATAAATTCAAGAGAAATCAAAAGGGTTTGCTTAAGATTCTTGAAACTTTGCATCTGGAGAAAGAAAGATTAGTCAATTTTGAAGTCACCTTAGCTGGGTACAAACAGTTTGAACTGAGATCGTATGAATTTGCTTCAAATACTTCAATTCTGGCAACTGAATCAAGAAATATTAACTCAAAAGGTGATCTTGACGGATGCGAGTGTAGAAGAAGAAGAAGAAGAATAAGGAAGATGAGCAGAAAAAGGTGTGCCACTGTGTGTATATTGAAAGGAGACAAAACTAAGCATAGGAATTATCAATCATCTAATGCTTTCTTTTGTGAAATGAGCCACCCAACAGCAGCCAATGTTGAAGCTGGGTGCGTAGAAGACAATTCCCTAGACGCCAAAAAGTCCTAAAACACAAGCACCCACCCACTACAAGTAAAATCTTAAATCCCATCACACATTTCCACACTAGAATACAATTCTTACCTTCTTACTATATTGTAAAGTTCTTTTTTTACAATTATAATTTTTCCATAGTTTTTATTATTATTATTATTATTAAAGTAGAGAATTATTTATTGTTAAAATAGAGAGATTTTATTAAGTGGTCGCTTCATTTATTTAGGAAGAGAATTTTAAGAAAAAATTATATATTTTTAATCTCAGCCATTGCCTTGTTTTATATTTTTGAAAATTTGCTCGTATCTTTAAAAGTTAGGGTTTAGGTCATTTTTGTTCACTTAATTTTTGATTTTGTGTTTATTTGTTCATTTAACTCTTTTTAAATTTTAAAAGGTCATCAAACTTTTGATTTTGTTCTCATTTAGTCACTTAGGGTGCGTTTGGTTGTGAGAAATTTTCTAGTTTTCTAGGAAAATTTTCCAAGAAAAACGGAAATTTTGAAAACGCGTTTGGTTCGTTTAGTTTTCCAAAGTTTTCTAAGAAAATGAAAATTTTCAGTTTTCCAAATTGTATGTAAATTTGAAAAGTGATTTTTACGGTTTTCCAAAGTTTTCCAAATTTCTAAAATGCAAAATGAAAACTCTACCCGTTCCAACCAAACGCGTTTTCATTGAAAATTGAAAATGAAAACTCAAGCCTATTTTCTAAAAACATTTTCATAGAAAATGAAAACAGTTTTCCACAACCAAACGTACCCTTAACTTTTGGTTTGGTCACTTAACTTTTAGATTTGTGCTCATTTAGTCACCTAACTTTTAAAATTGTGCTCATTTAGTCACTAAACTTTTGAAAAAATTTAAAAGTTTAGTGACTAGATGAGCACAATTTTAAAAGTTAGGTGACTAAATGTGACCAAACCAAAAGTTAAATGACTAAATGAGCATAAAGCCAAAAGTTTGATGACCTTTTAAAACTAAAAAAGAGTTAAGTGACTAAATGAACACAAAACGAAAAGTTAAGTGACAATAAATAACCTAAACCCTAAAAGTTATAAAAAAAAAAAAAACTATACGTGTTTAATTTTTTTATTGTTTTTTTAAGAAAAATCATTTTTTTTAAAACATACCGTCATCTTTTTACCATGGAACAGAGAATGGTTTGGTTTCTTAGTAAAATCAAATCTTACCAAAAATTTCTGTTTTAGACTTTAAAAATACAAAAAATTGGTATTTTTTTTTTTTTTTTTTTTGCATTGTTTTCTTCATCAACGATGCTTTAAATGTTAACGAAAAAACATGTATTTTTTTAAAAAGTTATGCCAACAAATCCTTATTAATGTTATTTTCAAAGGAAACTATAAATACTTAATAATTATTTTTAATATTTAACATACTTAATCAAGTGAACATATACATAGAATGACATAATTTTTTGTATTTTGATTTTTTTTTGGATGTTAGATTTAAAAAGACCAAACTGAATGAAAAAAAAATAAGTTTTGTATAAAACCCAAAACCAAACTATTAGGGTGTGTTTGGTTGTGGAAAACTGTTTCCATTTTCTAAGAAAATGTTTTCAGAAAATAAAGTTGAGTTTTTGTTTTCAGTTTCTAATGAAAAGTTTAGAAAACGCGTTTGGTTGGAAGAGGTGGAGTTTTCATTTTCCATCTTAGGAATTTGAAAAACTGTAAAACTTGCTTTTCTAACTTACATGCAATTTGGAAAACTGAAAATTTTCATTTTCTTAGAAAACTGAACGAACCAAACGCGTTTTCAAAATTTTCTTTTTTCTTGGAAAATTTTCCTAGAAAACTGAAAAATTTTAGTTTTTCAAAATGGTTTTTTTTTTCTTTTTTTTGTGAGAGATATTATAGACCATCATCTTTGTATTTTCTTAACGAAAGTAAACAATTGGTCTATATGGTTCAACAAAACTAGCATTGTGAGAGCTCAACTATCAAAACGTCTATGTATTTGTTTATATTGTTTTATTTTCTTGTTTGGTTCATCAATGAGTTTCATTTTATTTCACCGTTGATATAAAATTACTATATTATCCATACTAGATGTGAGACCTATGTATTATACGGGTTTATTAAACAAATTAATTTAATATATCCAATTATAAACATTAAGCAATTTTTAAAGTCATACTTTTACATATATCCAAAGGCTTTGATAAATAAGTATGTAATTGAACCCAAGGTAAAAAATTAATAATGACGTATTGTAAATAATTGTTATAAATTACCAATTTTCAAATATTTTTTTGAATACAATATTAGATGTCTTATTGCTAAGGTTACTGTTATTATATAAAATTAATATTTTCAATCAGTCACTGCTTTTAACTCTGGACAATGCAACATACAACTGTCTATGTCTATGAGTAAACAGTGGTTGTCTAAAAAACAAACTCACGCTTGATAGCGATTGTCTTTGACTTTTGTTTATGTCATCGCAAAGTATACAGCCAATGGAAAATGATCAATCTACGCTTCAACATAAAAAAAAAACATACCGCCCTATAAAAAATTTACCATTCTGCACTTGTGTCGTATTGTTAAAATATGATAAGGTATACATGAAATATTAGTGCATAGTTATTTACCGCACTAATACTAAAATGAGATGATCCATGATTAATTGAGAATTGTAAGTAAAATCCCAATTTATATAATTGACAATGTGGATAAAGACAACTTGTCGACAAAATTCCAAAAGTATCCAAGTAAACATTAATTTTTTTGGTCATATTAAAGACTTCATAAGATGAAAGAACATGACTCTGTTTTACTAAGTTTAGCAATCAATTAAGGGGAAAATGGAGATGTTAAACGAAAAAACATTCAATTGAACCAGTCCTGATTATACTTGGTATCACAAACATATTGATGGAAAAAAAACATAATAATTTTCAATGTCGATTAAATACATTTGATAACAAATTAACTACATTGCAAGTCTATATGTCGCAACAAAATGAGAAGATTAGTATCTGATTATGTAGTCCATAAAAACACCGATGACTTGAGCCTGGAGAAATGACAAACAATTAACAAACACCGATCATATGATATATAAATTCAAGCTTGGAAATTGTTATCAATAAGGATATGATTTCATAAAAAACAATGTGACATCAAATGATAAGATTTATTTAGGAAATAATTCATCCAATAACACCTTGATTATAGCTAATCATATCAATAGATTTAATTATACAATATTACTCCTGTAAATAGCTACTGAATTTACGGATATAGAAAAAAGAAGTAACCATTTTCGAACTGGCATTATCAATCAGATTTATCCTAATTTATTCGGATTTATTCTAACAATAATGTGTCTTAATTAAATTAACGCCGTGTCAATAAAATAAAAATGGAATAAATAAGAAAATGACATGTGGAAAACAAATTAGTCAAAAATGTTAACAAAATTACATGCGACAAAATCAAGAAGAATATGATGTGTAAAATGATTTTTATTTATTAAGGAAGAAGTGTAAGAAATTAAATTTTTAGTGCAACTTAATTTTTTTTTATAAAAATCAACTTATATGAAATACATGTTAGATAGTTAAATTACATAGTTGTTATATTTAAACACGCTGGCTCGGAAACCCTCGTGTAACATTCAGGTTTTTGGTAAGTTTTCTTTTAGCCCCTTTAATGAAAATTGTTAACATTTTGGTCCCTGGCTAGTACGCGGGGTGTACTCTATGAGTACGCTTAGCGTACTAGCCCATTAGCTGATCGCGGGTTTCACCCACATACACCGGGCGTACGTGGAGTACGCATGGCGTACGTGGTGCAGGGGCAAACCCTAATTTTTAGGGTTTTCACCCCTATTTAAACATCATTGTAGCACCTCTTGGACATTTATTGACCACCCTCCATCATCTTATGCCCTGAAAAGGAAACCCTAAGTGCCTCTTGTGAGTTTTGAGCTTGTAAGTGAGATTTTGGTGGTGTTTTAGTAAAAGAAGAAGAAGAAGAAGAACTCTTGGTGGTTGCTGTGGAGTAGCTTGGGCTTGTAGATCAAGCTTCATCATCATCATTTCAAGCCATTTGAGGTATAAAGTTCTCTACTTGATGATTCATTATGCTAGATTTAGTTTTGGGGCTTAGCTTATGCATTTTTGGGTCATTTGAGTTAAAGTTGAGCTTTTGATCTACTCCAGAAGCCATATATATTAGAACTTACTCCATTAAGGCCCCATGTTCATAAAAATGAAAACTTTATGGAGGATATTGGTCCATGCATATATTAAGATCTTTATTAAGCTCCTTTATGAGCTTTAAGTCCCATTAAGCCATGTATGAGTGTAAAGTTGCCAGCTTTATGTATTAAGTCACCCTTAGAGACCAGATCTGAGAGTTTAGCAGAAGGTCTTAACTGTTTAAGTGCTTAATGAAGTAGTATGGGAGCCTAAGGCGTACGCTCCACGTACGAGCTGAGTACGCCCCACATACTCAGCAGATGGACGGTTAGACTTGGCAATTATCAGTTTTGGGCCATAGTTTAGGCTTTTTAGATTGGGCCTTTTTGGGCCATTTGTTGGGTTTTGATACGAAATAAAAGGTTTGTTTTTCACAAAAACCGGCAACGGAAGACTTTAAAAATAACAAGGTTATTTTTAGTTCATAACAAAACTGAACCATCATGGATCCATTTATAGAGGTTAGAATGAAATCAAACCACCATAGGATGTTTTAGAGATAACCTTTGAAGTCTTTGAACCCACTTTGTTTTGGGGTGTTGATGAAGATAACAAAAGATCAAAGTGTGTAATTTTTCTACAAGTACCCACCATCAAGAGTAAGGCACTTGGAATGCTAGTTCTTTCTTGTATTCTTGAGTGTCTTAAACCTTTAAGTGCTTAACTCAAATAAGCACTAAAGGAGACAACTCAAGAAGGCTTCTAAACCACCAAAGCAAAGCACCAAACTTCAAAAGAAGAGAGCTTCTTCATGCTCACAGTTTTAGAGAG